TTTTTTTTTTAAATAATGAAAAATAGGTAATATAAATGTAATTAATTCTCAATAAATTTTATTATTTAATTTAATGTTTAAACCAAAAATGATAGAAAATGAAAATGATTTTTGTTGTTCTAAAGGACATAAGCTACCAGTTCTTACAATTGCAGTTGATCCAAATTTATCAAGGAATTAAAGGCTCTTATGCTCAGAATGCTTAGAGAACACAGACATGGATGCCAAAGTAATTGGGTTAAAGAAAATAATTTCCTTGATTGAAGAAAATTAAGTAAATAAGATGGAAAAATTACAAAATATCATAAATAGCTAAATAAATGTTATTGAATCATTACATTGTGTAGTTGATCAAATGAAATCAAATGTAATCCAAAAGTTAAACTAATTGATTACTATTATTATTGAATGGATTCAGAATCTATAATAACAAAGATCATAATATTCTCAATATAGTTTTTATGAGGAATTAGAAAATATGCTCTAAAAGGAAAATAAAACTAATTCCGGCTAATAAATATTGATCCATGAAATTTAGGAAACCAATCTCTGTTGGGCTTCCAAATTTCATCCTTAATTAGAACACTTTAATTAATTTGGAGAATATAATAAATGTAGAGAACTATTATCAAGTTTAGAATTAGGATCTGATTAATTAATTTAGATTGAATAATAATAATAATAATAATAGATCAATATTTAAGAGATAAAATCAGTGAGTACTTTAATAAATATTCAACCATCTTAAACTATAGAATCTAGTCATCAATATAATCTCAATACATTCAATTATTAATTAATCTAAGAGTATTCAATCTCCTAATATGAATTCTGTTGTGCTATAGCTGTTGATAACTATTGTTCAACTTTGGTGGCTGGATGTAATTCAATTATTAAAGTATTTTAATTCAACTAAGGAAAGAGCAACTATTAAATTTTGGATAAAAAAGAATGAATGGTTGTGTTAATAAACAATCATTGATCATTCTAAATCTGTTAATGGATTAAGTTTAAATTAATAATAAAATAGAATTGTATCATGTGGAATTGATGAATTTATATTAATAATTGAATAATCAGGACAGAATACAGAATGAAAAGTATTGTAAAAGATTACGGTTGAAAAGAATGGTTGGAGAGTATGCTTTATTGATAATAATACTTTCATGTACTCACCAGGTGGTAAAGAATAGATATCTGTTTTTGAGATGAATATTAATAATAAATAGTTTACAAAGACAAGAGATATTCTTATTTAAAGTGGAATAGATTGCAATCCAAGATTTCCTTAACAATATATAAATTCAAAACGTATTCTAATGAGTAAGAATGGGGAATATGTCAATTTAATAAGATAAAAACAAAATGGAGAGTTTTTAACTGAACAATCTATTCATTTTGGAATTAGTTCTTTATATGGAGCAATGACTGATGATGGAGAATATTTAATCACTTGGGATAGAGCATCATATTAAATACAAATTAGAAGATATTAAGAATAATGAAATTATTAAAAATTTTTAAAATTATTGTATAAAATTTGACAATAATTTTAAGAACTTATTTTGAAAACATTTTTGAGATTATCATGATTTGCTTATTATACAGCATTTGCTCATAACATCTTTAATAGAATTTATATTTAAGTTTCATATCTCATAGATATCTCAAATACATTCTCTTTATATTAATGTTTTTTCTGTTAATTTATATTATTCTAAATAATCAAAAATTTAAGAGACATTTTAAATATAAAAATGAAAATTAGTGACATTTGAGTTATAACTATTTAAATGAAATTTAAGGTGGTACCTTCATCATTGACAGTAATCATTAATTTCAATGGAAATAAATGATTTTATATAATAGTAATATCTATTATATATTGAAGATTGCATGATTCAAAATACAAAGGAAGGGTATGAAGATAACTCTAAATGAAGAACCTAGCTTTATTTAATTGGGAATATTGTTTAAATGGTACTACTTGTTAACCAAATAATTATTTAAACATGAATGCAGGTAATAGTTGTTAATACATCTACTAATTGTACATCTTGTTTATTAAGATATTTTTGAAAGGATCTTCTAATACTTGTCATTAATGTCATACTAATTGTTTAACAAGTTTAAATGATGCCAAAATTTGCATATCTTGTGTTTTAGTATATTTTAAAGATAAGTATACTGAATGCTCAAATAAATGTTTTACTTTTGTTGTTCCAGACACTTAATTTATATTATGTTATGTAGGAATATATTTCAATAATAATTATTGTTCACCTTATCCTAATACACGTACCAGTGAGAATTTATAAAAATATTCATGCTTGTTCTAAAAGTTCTTATTTGAATAAAAATTTTTGTTCAGTTTGTTCTATTAAATTTTAAGAATGTGTATATTCATCTACAAAATTTACTAATTGTTATGATGGTAAATACGAAAGTGTACAAGTTATATTCCAGGTTATGAATTTTGCAAATTATGCATGAAACCGTGCGACTACATGATCCTCCTTACAATGCTAGAATTAGTCCTTTTTGTTTAACTTTTTCTACTCAAGCCAATTCTTGTGATACTTGTCTAGATTGATATTTTATATTTGAAGCTACTACTTTTGATTTTTTTTACAGCTCACTGTTATAAATGAGTAGATTATTAAGATAAATGTTTAAGTTGTGTTTATGGATACTTTTTATCTAGAAATACTTGTTAATAATGAACTTTGTCATGTTCTAATTGTAAAACTTCCTAAATCGATTGTTCGGCATGTTTTCAAGGTTATTTTTTGTATTACAATGTCTAAAATAATTAATAATTCGTATATTGTATTTTAATATAAAGCACAACCAAATAGATAATTTAGTTTTGAGATCTTCATATTAACTATATTTATTTTACTGCAAAACTAAATTCTTCAATATTGATACTCAATTTTTAGTAAGCCTCATGTTTGGAAATATATTTTAAATTATATTCTATTTACAAACACTAATGACTATATTTATAAGTCTTTGAGCCTGTTAAAAATTAACTTTTCACTGTAGAATTTTGAGAGCACTTTACTGTGATTCTTAAATTTATTTCTTAATGTATATTTTGTTAATTATTGATATAAAAGTGCCTTGGGTAGTAAAATTATCTTAGTTTTAAATTATTTAAATGTTGATAAATGGATTTAATGTTGTACTTTTTGTTTTTTCAAAATTATAATTATTTTTTTAAGTTCAATAAAATAAAAAGTTAAATCTATAGAATAAGAAATCCACACTTTTCTATTAGTAAATGGAACAAAATATGTCTGTATATTCCATAAATTTATAAATTTTAATACAAGTTTAAATAGAATATGAATTTTTAGAGTAAATATAGTATCTAGCTTTATAGTAAAAGTGTGATCAGAAGGTGTGATAAACTAGAAATTATATTAAGGACAATATTTAATGTAGTATTTTGAGAAATTGTGTCTAATCCAAAATCTAAAAATGCTTCCTAAATACCTAAAATTATTTAATAGCCTAAATGTTTCAAATTATTCAAGTTTCAT